TATCCCTGCCCAAACACCTTTGGAGATCCAAGGCGAATCAAGCTGATCGCGACGTCTTCGGGATTGGGCTTCGGCATGGGGGCAGAGGCTGGACCGAGGGTCGCCAGGATTACTGTAAGCAACTATATGAAACTTATCGAGCTTGGGAAGTCAGGCTGCGCGTGTAATTGTGTGGCCACTCCGAATGTTTGGGCACTGTGTTCTATGGCTGAGACTGCAGCAAACATCAACGTCTGAGAAAAGCACAGCCGAAGTCAAGCATGAATGTATTTATCCACACAGGCACACACACAGACCAGGAAGTGCAGCCTGTGCTCGAAAGTCAACAATAACTTGGACAGGAAGACGTGTCTGCGGCCCTGCAGCAGCTGCGCTGACCAAGCGGATCTGAGGGCCTTTCCGCCGAAGGGCGTTTCGAACCTGGCCGCAGGGGGTGTCACGGAATTTACACAAGTATACTTGGATGATGGTTTGTCGAGCTCAACCGGACATGTCATGTAAACACACCCAGAAGCCTTCAATTTTCTCAGCACACAAGAGCAGCCGTGATCGAGTCCCACAGCAGAGACAACACGGCCTTTGCATCAGAATTAGCATTGAATCGTGGGAGAAGCCAGCTTGCTCTCTGACGGTATGTACCGCTAGGAGGAAACACCCTGGTGAGCCTTAAGCCCAATCCTCAGCAGCGAAATCATTCGGCCAGAAGGCAATTGCCCCAACCGGCTCCGTTGCACGATCATCCACTGGACGTTGGCAGCTCGAGCTGGACACAGCATGGGTAACTTGTACACAGAGCAGAGTACCGCTGGAAAGGAGCTAGTATATATAACAATTAATGTATATATATATATATGCCATCGGGTGAAAAATTATATATATATATATATATATATAGGTACAGACTGGTGTAGGCAATTCAAATCAGCCCTAGTCCAGCTCAGGCTTGGTCCATAGTCTCAAGAAACTTAGTTGCTGCTAGAGTGCAGCTTTTGTACATGGAAACTCTCGAAGATTCCTCGTCGTGCTGCTCGGCATACTGCTTGGCGAAGTCATAGAAATCGGACTGAGCAGGAAATTGTGAATCCACTCGAGGAGCTGTCTGGCTATCGGTTTAACTCCTAGTTCAAGATTGCTTACCCTACAATAACCACAGGACTTCGAGCTACTCACCTTTATTATTCGGAGAATTAGGGTTTAGGGTTTAGGGTTTATAAGTTTAGGGTTTAGGGTTTTAGGGTTTAGGGTTTAGGTTTAGGGTTTAGGGGTTCTTTTTTTTAAATTGGAGGCTACGGAAGATAGCAGAAGTCAGGAGGAAACACACATTTGGGATTGTTATAGCCAGCACTCCATATATTAGTTATGCCCTTACCCAGCCTGAAGAGCCGAAGCTTGCCCCGGAATGATCTTCGGAAGGAGCATCGACTTGAAAGCCACCACACACCCTTCCCAAAGCTTCTGGGTCCAGTTGTCACTTTTGGGTCGGTAGCGTCGGGCGAATGTGTTCGGCCACTCAGACTCAGCAAACACAGCTGTAACGGACTTCCTGGCCTTCTTTTTCGGGGAACACTTGGGGGCACCGACCCCTCTCTTGCCACGAATCCTGGAGGTGGGAGCCTTCACGGCATCCATGGCCTCCACCAGCGCTGCGATGCCCATCTTGCCTCGCTTGCTCGCTGGCGCAACATCGCCATCCTCGGCCTCCTGCTCACCCTGATGCTCGTTGGTCTCTGGACACGACTTCTTTCCGCGACCACCTCTCCCCCGGCCCCCCCTACCTCGGCCCGGCTTCACCGGAGCAACCTCAGCTGGCTCGTCGGGCTCGGAGGCCTCGTCCGGAAGCTCAGAAGCTTTGGGTTCCTGATGCTCGTTGGTCTCTGGATGCGACTTCTTTCCGCGACCTCCTCTTCCCCGCCCGCCCCTGCCTCGGCCCGGCTTCACCGGAGCAACCTCAGCTGGCTCGTCCTCGTCCGGAAGCTCAGAAGCTTCGGGTTCCTGATGCTCGTTGGTCTCTGGATGCGATTTCTTTCCGCGACCACCTTTTCCCCGGCCCCCCCTGCCTCGGCCCCCTTTGCCTGGGCCCGCAGATTTGCCTGCTTCGGCGTTTTTCTCGGCTTCCTTCGAAGCTTTCACCGTGAGCTGCTCATCACGTGTGCGAAAGGATTTCACAGGGGTGATCTCAGCAGGTTTGATTCCTCTTGGGCTTGGGGTGTCCTGATCGGGAGCTGGGGGTGCAACTGCATCCGGCGACCTGACATCTCCAAGCTGCAGGGTCTTCTCCTCAGCAAACTTTCTTGCCGGAGATGGCACAGGCTGGTCCAACTCCGACAAAACAGCCGTCAGAAGCTGAGTTGACACATCGAAGGCCTGCGTCTCCACCTGATCCACTGCTGCTCCTGATCCCACAACAGCCGATGCCTTGTGCACCGCAGTGGCACAGGGCTCGGCGTCGTCATCTGAATCCAGAACGATTGGTCCTGGCAGATAGGATTATACAACCTATATCGACAAAATCTCAACGACTCAGATACCCATGCGTGTACATCGGATCTTAATGAGAAACCCACACGATCCTTGGGGAAGGCTCTTGGCAAACTGCTTGGCCGCACGCTTGCGCTCAATCTGCATCCTTATGAACGTGCAAGCTCGTTCTTGGAAAATGTTCCTAAATTGCATGTGCAAGCTACCGCATACATGCTTGGCAAACATGCTGTCAAGCTACAACCGCTTCGCCTCCAGCTTGAGCTCGGCTATGCGCAACTCTTTCTCCAAATCATCCCGGGTGGGCTCCCTATGCAGAGCTTGCTCGCGAGACTTGGGGTCAGGGTTCCCAGGCACAGCCTCCTCGTGAGCCTCGGGGGCAGGGTTCACAGCAGCACCTTCCTCCGGCACCGGTGGTGCCGGCGTGACCTCGTCGGGCACGACTGCACTCGTCGTGGCGGCTGTCGGCTCCATCTCCTCTGCGATTGAGGAAGCCGGGGCCTCATCGTTCTTTGAACTCGGATTTTCAGCATTCCTGGGCTGATCCGACTCCACATCTGCCGCTGGATCAACATCGTCATCGTCATCATCATCCCCTCGAGCTCTCAGAGCTCGGGCGATGCGATCACCAACAGCCTCAATGGGTCAATGGGCAACATGCAACATAGGGCTTTTGCACAAGCAACCTCACCAAGCAAGGCCGAGCCACCTGTCGCAGCTTGGCGTAGGCCCGGTCAAACTCGGCAACGAGCTTGCGAACAGCCCTGTCCTGATTCCCACATCATCGCAGTGTTAGCTCCCTGGAAAACTACAAAACCTGCGCTTCTTCGGATTTATATAACACAAGCGAGAGACCCGAGGCGTTTGCTTACGCATCCACTTGCGCTTCAGGAAATTCAGCTGGCGCTTCAACCCCCAGCCGTCACCATAAGCTGCACAGTACCCAGGGAAAGAGCTTCGGGATAGCCGGCATGACAATGGAACTCCAAGCAAGCACCCTGTAACAGGTACACCTTCGGAACAAAGATGCACCCCTCATCGGCCATGATTTTAAGGATCGTAGCCAACACATCAGAGTTGAGCCTGCAGCATTCGATGTTGCCCACAACCACTGGGATCTCACCGTGAGCCTTCGGAACAATCCCTCGCAGCAGGGTCATGCCACGAAGACTCCGTTCTCGAAAAGCACGAACAGCCTCCCACACGGCTGGCAGCTGTGCCACCCATGCGAAGCTTTTCGCATCGAAATTCGAGCTGCCCGCAGCTGCCATATCACACCGTAGCCTAGGCCTATAATTTTAAGCCAAGCTATCGGACCTTCGAGAACAAAATCCTGCAAGATGTGCATGGGGGCTCATACAATAAATAGACATCGCTGCACACAGTGATTCCAGCTGACAAATCACGATGACTGTAGTCACCCCTTGAACAAATGCCCATGAGCCTCCTTCTGGCTCCAAACAGTCCGGCGAATGTCTGCCCTGGCAGAAGCAAGGCTTTCCCCGTTCTTTTCAGGAGGCTTTGTGTGGCAAAGTGAATCTGGCCGGGTGCACATGGAGGAGGCTCACCCAGCATGACTCAACTTCTGCATGGGTTTTGACCTGACATACACGACACCCGGCCTTGATTGCACAAAACTATCCCCCAAACAGCCTGGCTTGAGCTCCTGGAAGCAGTCGTTGGCCTGGCACGGGGGAGGTTTTGGGTTACACCATGGGCTGACTACCCTTCAAGTTTCCCCAGGGAACCTCGTAATGATTCAAAGACCCATGAAGAACTGCTCGGTCACCACGGTCCACCCTGCCATACAAAAGGGTTTCCCAGGACGAACCCAAGCACCCACAATCGAAACTAAGATAAGCTTGCCGGTTGCACGTCCAAGCGAAGGGCTCGGCACAGGAGGCACACCATGAAATCTCATCGATATCATGTTAATTAATCTGTAGTACGGACCTATTTATTTCGAATGTGGTGCCAAGAATCAACTGCTGCCGACTGGTATTTGCGACCTAGGGTATACAAATCTAACGTTCGTCCCAGCCATGCTTGCATGTACTCTAGGTACATATATGTTTTATACACAATATATATATATATATATATATACATATATACATATATATATATATATATATCGGCTATATAGTCTTCTCTGTATATATAGAGCAAATTTAAGAGCTTATACACTCATGGTAATTACCCATGCACGCACACACTACTTTGCAAGGTTCTGAGCTAACAGGTCGATGCAAGCAGCAGGTTTTCCAAGGGCATCCATAATTACGCACCTTTGGGTCCGAATCTGAAATTTACGCACCTTTCCCAAAAGGCCAATAATTAACAACGGTTTTGGTGACACAGGTAGATATAATATGTGTGTCTGCATGTTTTATCTAAAGTTGTGTTAGTCTATGTGGCGTGTATGTACATGTACGTGATACGTAAGTGCTCAAGCTTCGAGTGTAGATCAATGCACTCTGTTGCAGTCCCAGATTTTTCGGCGCCCCTAGTGCTTGTCCAAGGACTGCAGTCGCGGTGCGCAACTTGCTGGCACGGCATCCTGCAAGCAAGGTCAGCGCTGCATTCCGTTTGTTCATGTGTTTATATGCTTCGACAACTTTGCAAAAAACAAAACCGTTTGTCCGGATCCCGGTTGTCTTTGCCACCGAGCCTTTCTCAGCTCAGGAATAGTGCGCACGTCTGTGTAGGTAGCAACGGCATGCCTTCGTCTGGTGGTGCAGGTTGTTGTGCTGGACCTGGATGCGCACTTTGGCGTGCCGCCCCAAGCTTCGACAATCCCAATCTGACAGCATGAACCCCAACGTTTTGGATTTAGGGATGTTTGGGGCTTCAAGAAGGGTATAGTGGGTCGTAGTACATGCCATAATGGGCTGCAAACCCAGGATGGCACAGCGTGGCAGTTTTACGAGGTGGGAGCTGACTTTCTGTTATTGGCTGTGATCGGCTCCGAGGGGAGAGGCCGCAAAGTCTGGCGGGAGCTGTGCTTTGCTTGACATGCAATGTTCAAGCTTCAAGCTGCTCTGGGACGGGGGCCCCACGAGCGGCGAGGTTGTACACGGGGTAGCAGGCAGCCTGCAGCACACGTAATCTTACTGCGTGAGATGCCGCAAGGCCACGAAAGAACATACGGAAGCCCGCGGCGCAGCGGCATGTTGCTTTTATGGATTGAAGTAGTCTCTGGGTCGAGGATTCTAGCACAACTTTATTCGAAACCACGCGTTATGCGCCATGGCTGTCGATGCAGTCTCCTATCAATGGCACTCTCTCCATCTTCCAGGCGGATGTGCTCACCGTGTGCTCACATGGTCGGACTAGTCGTGTTGCACAGCAGTGCGAATGTCAGCTCCTGGCGCAGAGCCGTCATTATCATGATAAGTGTGCCTATTCTTGGAGGTCGCAGCAAAACTCTTGCGCCCTTCCCTTGGCTGGAGAAGCATCTTGCCTGAACCGGTGTTCTCTGAGGCCTCCGCGTAGTTTAGGGGCCGCAATAGCTACAAGTACAATAGTTACCATACTACTTATCCCCTACTACATTGTAGTAGTCCCTGTGGAGTCATAGTGTAATATGCCCCAAACCCCTGCTCTACTTGTTAAGGCACTGTTAATGAGATGGTCTTCTTCTTAGCTGACGCTTTTATGTCGAGGACGCTGCACGCGCAGACAAACACAACCAGCTACATATAAAGCTTGAGCTTTATAGTTACTTCTGGGGTTACTGAAGGGCACGGAATTCCAAGCCACGGCTACGAACACGGTTCAGGTAGGGCTAGCACCGTCAAGATCGAGCGCCAATCTATTGCCCTCGTTTTCGTTCTGACATCGCAGTTCCCAGTCCTTGGACCTTCGATGTGCGTTTCAGAGTTCTACCCGTTGAATTCGCAATTACTCAGCATTATACTAAGCACCACGGACCGCAAACTCAGAGCCGAAGCTCGTTTCTTCGAGAGCGCGAGCGAGCGCGAGAGGGAGAGAGAGAGTGGAAGCAGGACGCACAGGTCCCCTTCGGGGGAGGGTCGGGGTTCGCCTCTGCCTGTAACCTGCAGCAAGCAAGCAAGCAAGAGGGGGCATAGCTGTAAGTTGGTTGCAAGATGCTGCCGGGGAGCCGGGGTTCACGGTCATGTCACACCGACAAGCCGGACGCGGACTCAGGCCTAGCGCTGATGCGCAGGGGTGGGGAGGGGAGGGTGCTTCCCTGTCCTTCACACGCCCCGCGAGCAAGCAAGCAAGCAAGCAAGCAAGCAAGCAAGCAAGCAAGCAAGCAAGCAAGCAAGCAAGCAAGCAAGCAAGCAAGCAAGCAAGCAAGCAAGCAAGCAAGCAAGCAAGAGAGCGCAAGCAAGAG